GTAGAGAGCCTGTGCATATGTGAAAAGATCAGACTAGGATACCGGGGAAAAATCAGGCTTAGAGATTAAGATTTTTAAGTTATGGTATGAAAAACATGTGGGAAAAATATGAAAAAGGAGACAATGGAAGAGGACCTAAGTTCAGGTTCTGATTGTGAAACTGAACTTGAGTAAGCCACTTAACATCATTGAAACTCAGTTACTCCAAGTTTTAAATGGAGAAAATAGTATTTACTTCACAGTATTTTGAGCATACAAAGTGAAAGGGCCTTGCAAACTGTAAAGCTATGTAGGTAAAGAGCTGTTATATAGTTAAAGTCATGAGAATCAAAGGGTAGATATTTTAAGCTATGTATTTCTTAAAGGGCTTCGAAGTTGAGACCTTAGCCTTCCCTTGATCAAAGATCCACATTACTGTGCTACAGAGTGGATGATTTATTATTACACACATTAAAAGGTCAGTTGGCCAGTCTGCTTCTGAAACACAGTAAAAATAATACCTAAGCCTTTCTAAATTCTGACAAAATCTTTGAAAAATCATCTTTGGTGCTTGCTTAATTGGAGAAATATCATTTTAACTAGAAAATAAAATAAATCAGATAAATTTACAATTCAAAAGTTCTTATGGCATATTTAGGTGAGTAAAGAAGCATCCTAAATATTGCTCATACTTAATCTTTATTATTAAAAAGTTTTAAACCTTGAAATTGCATAATACTATATTATAAAATGACACACTTAAGCACATGATAATGTGCTTAAGAAAGCATGATAATGAATTCTTGATTTTTATTAGACTTAAAGTTAATAATTGCATTGAAATAAATACTACTGCCTTAGGAAAACTTGAAACATAGATGCCTGAACAGAGTACAAGTTCTTAAAGAAGCAGGACCAGGTAGGTTTTCTGTCCATAGACTATGTTTATAATATTATTTGATTTGTAAGGATTAACCTGAAAAATATTTTATCCATTTTGGTTAAATGAATCTTAGTATTTCTTAAGGAAATCGCAACTCAAATTTGAGTACATAATGATAATTTATTATTTAGCATAAATTCCAAGTAAATTGTGATTACATTTTACTTTGCCTTTTTCTCTGTATTTTTGGTATGCTAGTCAAAGTCTGAGCTATTCATTATAGAGTCACAGACATCACATTTCCACCTTCCAAAAGTATTTAAAGGATTATATGGAAATTATCCCAATTCTTATCAATATGCTTAAGCCTTCCCAGACAGGAACTATTTCTTATCTTTGCATACCCAGGACCTTCGACAGTGCCAGGCATAAACTAGGCATTTATCTATTTGGGAGCAGATGAGTACGTGAATGATTTTGTCCTGCTGCTGTATTTGTCTTACATATTGCTGGAGATACTAATCACCAGGGCTTGAACATCTTTTTATTTTGCTGTAATGATATTGTTTGTATGCAAAACACTCCTAAATTGTGTTATTTCATTTTTAATGCAAGATATTACACTTGGAAAATAAAATCTGTTATACTAAAATTCATATTAATATAAAAATTATTCAAGATATTGACCTCATTTTACATACAAAACCACAATATTAATGTAAGAGAAATTTAAAATAAATAAAATACCCTTTCTAAAACAGTGTTTATTTTCATTCTTATCTTCAAGCTCACCAAGGAATTCTTAAAGGTAAGGAGAACTTCATACTTCCCTCCACACCACTCCCCCTCCCATCACCACCAAAAAATAAAAATAAACAAAACAAGAAGGGAAAAGAGAATTTTCCGGTCATTTAAAAATACTATTACTGTGAAGCATTATGGATTCTTGTACATCGTAAAGGCACATATTTTGAATTCCCTTTTCCCCCTGAATTTCCTTTAAATGCCTATCTTATAATAAATACATTAGATGATTCCTGTTACCCTCATGCACTACTATAAAGATTATGGATCCTAGTAATTGTTCCTTGTATTTACAGTGGAAACTGCAACTTAATAAAGGAGAGAAGAAAATGTACCGAAGGCAAACCCATCTGTAAAGGATCGCTGTAAACCGGTATTTATTCGGTTTGTACTAAATTAGTCGTGGCATGACAAGAACCCTTTGTCTGTGGGACCGTTGGTCTGGCAACCATTATCTACCCGTGGAAAAGACGTCTGAAGACTCCGCCCGGGCTGGGGGTGGGGAAGGCGCACCGCGTGGAGAGCTCGACTGAGAATTAAAGGGAGCGAACAAAGAGAACTCCCAGCTGCCGCCCGCCAGCGCCTTGCCGCTGCATCAGGAGACGTCAGTCAAGCCCGGAAGGCTGTTGGAATCCGCCTCCCTGCGAAAATCTCAAGTAAATAATTGATGGTGATTGACGCGGTCCAGGACAAAGCTTTGAGGAAAGCCAGTGCATCCGATTTCGAGCGGTTTGGGAATCTTCCGCCGAGTAACGGGTATGCGAGTGCAGCGAGGACTGTGAGCTTGGCTACCGGTCTTCCATCGCGGGCGTGGCTCTGGCCTTTTTGTCTTCTTGCCGCCCGCCCCTCCGCCTTCGCACTCCGCCTTCTTCTCTTCCCTTTTGAAAGTAGCCTCTCTTCGGTTACTTCTACGTAGTCCTCCCTTGCAATCCCGCCCCCTCCCCTGCCCAGTCCGGTGAGGCCAGCTCACGAATATTAGTGCACTTCCCGGGGAGCGTCTGGCACGGCTTGGTACCTTGCGTGTTCGCCTGCTCAGAGCCGCAGCTCTAGCCCAGCCGCGGGCCGCCAAGGAGTAA